ATTTTTACTTGACGTGTCAGCCTAGATGGCATTTAAGCTTCATTCTGCACGATTTTGCATTCTCTGCATTTTAGTTCGATTTTCTATTCTCTGCATTCTAGTTTAATGGTCAAATTCAGAATAATTCAAAAGTTGCGGAGGAGAAGGCCTCGAGGAAGCGCAACCGCTCTTAGTGCACCAAGAATACCAAGGCCGCTAGGACAATCAATATGAGTTTTCCATGTTAATGACATTACTGAGACATTTTTACACGCCAGGCGCAGCACGACTACAGGCCTTTTGGTCTTTCCCACACTGCTTGTTGTATACAAAAATAAGAGTACGTGATCAAAGTACCTTGTAAACCATGAAATCCTAGGTGCTGGATCACCACGAGTTACATTGCAACTGATCCGAAATGGTGTCAACGGAGGGACATGTAATGTGTCGCCTTCTTGGATGAACAACTGAGGTCGAGCGGCTGAAAATAATTCTATTTGCAGCTTTTTGAAATTCGAATACTACTCAACGCTGTATACGCTGCAAGCTACTCAAACGGTATGGCTTCCCAATAAGTTTACGAACGAATTTGCCCTGTTAGAAGACGTTTAAGCTAATCTCCATTTTTATAGCTAAAAAATTGCTGTAGTGTTGCGATCTTGAGCGAAGTCAAAAGCCAAAACTCCATCAACGTTTTACTTCTCATGAAAAGAGGGAGCATTTAGAATTAGCCCGAATGCCACAGCAATTATTCCCTCTCTCGAGAGTTACTTTAAAGCACGACGGTTTCTGACATGCACCAATATGAACTGGTCATTGAAGCGAATGAACGGAACGTAGAAAAACTGCATGAGCAACTGACGAAGTCGAATCATCGCTACAAGTAACAGAAGCGCCACTTCACCGCACCACGCTCGTCAGCACATTCACAATAACAGGACATTTTGCGGAGATCGGACATATGTGCGAAAACTGTACTACTACTACTCCCTTCTGTGCCATTTAGGCCTAAGGATTTAGCGAATGTGACTGCTTTATCACCAACAAAATTATCATTAGTTTTTTCTCCGAAGATTGCTTGAGAAGCAAATCACCACACCGTTGAAACAAATTTCTAAACGCATACTGACCCTTTTCATAAAAAGAAGGCTGAAACATGCAGAATGGCGCCGTGCTAACAAGTTGTCATAACAGACAAGTGAATTTAGGGGTTGCGCACTTGAATACCTGGATCATCTGAGCAGCTCTACAGTTGTGCAGCTGGCAATTTTCCTGCTTGCTTGGGCCAGTGCTATAACGCCTGGTATGCTGGCTATTTCGAATTTAAATTGTTTAGTTTTAATTAAAATTTTGCATCTTGTGCAGATTTGCAATAGTGTACCTGGTTTATGCGTGTTAAGTGATACTGGATTTGAAAGTCGTCCAGGACCAAGTTTGTCATTGGCTCGCAAGCGAATGAAATATTGCGTATTGGGTCGCAAATCTTTGATGGTCACCTCACGATTTGGCTCTGCAAAAGGACGGGCATTTGTTAATTACCAATTTCAGTAACAGTAAAGTTTCGATACAATTCTTCCTGGCCATCAACGACATTAAAACCGCAATGAGTTATTTTAT